TGAGCAGAGTATATTCTACCACCAAAACCCGATTCCCATGGTTAAGGGTCCAATAGTAATCCCCGAACCCCCGAAGTCCTAAACCCCCAAAAACCGGAAACCCGAAACCCGAATCCACTGCAGTCGGCGCAAGCCCTACAGTATGGGATCCTGAAGAGACTAAGCCCTATAAGCCCTAAGCCCTGAATCCTACACCCCCCTTAAGCGAAGGGCTCTGGCTTTACAGAACCTTGGGGAAAATTGGGTTAACGGCGGTTTCCTGTATTAGGGTTCCTTTCAGGATCCGTTTTGCTTCTAATGAGGGTGTCGTACAATTTTAGGGGCCTAACACGGGACTCTAATATTTAGACGTAACCTACCTTTCTATGGTTCCTTACAATTCGTCTATAGTGCCCGCAAAAGGGCAGTTTCTATTTGAGGTGAACTGAAGGGTATCAGGCTTACAGCCTATAGAGCTTGAAAATTTTGTTTGAAGTGACAACTCTGCCGTGAAGCCTAATTATGCAGAACTCGGTACTTTTCCCTGGCGCAGCCACCAGAACAAGATTACTAACAGCCATGATGCCAGTTAATGTAAGGGCCTGAATGACTAGAACAGGGTTTTGGGCTCCTTTATACCACTATAATAAGGAGCCCTAAGGAATAATTTTGGTAATTATTTAAGATTCCATATTAATGCCTTGATAGCAACAATACGAACAGCTCAGACATCTGTTGCCCGCAGTGACACCCGAAGCTGCATCTATAAAACTCAAACGCTCTCTCCGACGACCGTTGTGCTCCGGTTGCAGAAGCGATCGCAATCTTAAGCTTGGAGACTTGACCTTAAACCCTAAACCCCCCAAACCCAAACACCGTTGGGTGCAAGAGTTCAGTGTCTCGCTGCTGTGGTTATAAACACAAGGTTCCAGATTTGAGGCTATAGGATGAAAATTTGAAGTTTAAGGTTCAGGGTTTAGGGTTCGCACTTAGCCCACACCAATGCCCAACATCGGTTTAGTAGCCTTAGGGCAAGGCAAACCGTAAACACGGCGGGCCCAATACCCCTTAGTTAGTTAAGGAACAAATATACACCAGCGGGATTTATAGGCTCTTGTCCGGTTTCATGGGGCCTTAGGGAAAAGTGTTACACACCGGTGGGCCACCTGCAAGAAGGCACCGAGTGGTGGATCAGGGAGTGCAGGTCCAGCTGTTGCCTCAGCGTCTGCTTAGGGGTTCTCTAAACCCTAAACCCTTCAACCCTAATACCCTAAACCCAAAACCCTAAGTTAGGGGTTTCTGGATTGAAGCGACTTCTAGCTTGGGCTTCAGGAAGTTTAGGGTTCAGGGAATCAAGGTTCAGGGAGAGTGCGGGTTCAGGGCTTAGGGTTTCCCTAGGGCTCCAGTTACCTAAATAGTGGGTTACTAGCCATATATTATGTACCCCAGTAACCTACTATTCAGGTAACTGGAGCCCTAGGGTTTTTTGCTCAGAGATTGAGGATCTGGGCTTCGGACGCAGCGTTTTTTTCGGATTTAGGTAGCCAGCCGCCGGTAGTGTCTCTTACGTGGAGCTGACATGAACCGAGAAGATGAAAGTCGAGTTTAGGGTTTAGGGTTTAGGGTTTAGGGTCTTGTGACGTGACGAGGCGGCCTAGCAACACTGGATCCCGGGTTGTCAACGATTCAGAGGCTCAAGGGTGTAAGTTCTGAAGGAAGACGGGATCAGGCTCCAAACCTGAAGCCCTAAACCCTAAACCCAAAACCCGGCTTTGCGGGTCTAGGGCGATGGGCTTAGGGCTCTGGGCTTCGAGGAGTTAGGGCTTCAATCTCGAAGCCAAAGGGTTTCTGGCTCAGCGCTTAGGGTTTAGGGTTTGGCGCATGTTACCTCAGACCGTAATAGGAGTAATAGGAGTCCTTTTGCAGATTATACGGGAAAGCTGAAATCAAGCGGTGTCGGTCTCTCTGCGCTCTCAAAATCTAAGCCAGCAGGACATGGATCATGATGTGATACACAGAGTGGGTCGCAGTTCGGGTCTTTGGGGACAGAGGATGTCTAGATCTATACCTGTACTCACATCTATATCAGCATCGATATCTATATGTTCATCTTTACCTGTATCTAGGTCTATTCTATATCTATATCTATATCCATACTTAGAGCTATATCTGTAGGTCTGCATATCTATATATCTGTATCTATATGTATATGTACACATATACGTATTCATATACCTGTATCTATACATCGATGTGATATCTGCATCTATATCTACACCTGTACCCATATAGATTTCAGAGATACGCAATCCGGACCTGCCGGAAAAGCTGGTTTAACACGGTATTTACAAAACGAGGGTCGGTAGTTCATGGGGGCTGGCCAGGGGGTTGGGGGGCCAAATAAATACATACATACATACATACATACATACATATATATATATGTGTGTATGTGTGTGTGTGTACATGTACACATGTATGTATGCATGTATGTATGTATGTAAGTATGTATGTATGTCTATGTTTTTGTAGACACTTACTTATGCCATTCAGTTGTTTATGCTCTTCTTTTTATTATCCTTCTAATGTTTCTTCGTGGTTATATTAGTCTTGCTATGTTTCTTCTCATCGTTGTCTTATGATTGCTGCTTGCATTTTACATGTGTGCACATACACAGACATGTTGATATTCTTTGCTTATCTCCATCTTCCAGAAATATCTGTTTCCATGTCTATATCTACCTACATATATATATATACATATATACATATATATATACACACACATATATATATATAGATATATGTGTATACATATATATGCATGTGTGTGTATATACATGTTAATGTATACATAATATATATATATAGATAGATTGTGTGTGCATACATGCATGCATGGATGCATGTACGTACGTACGTATACCTATATGCAAGCGGCAGGTTTCTTAGAACCGGGGACTTCCCTTTTAAGGGTCGCTTAGAAGAAGGGGTCTTATCGTTCATAGGAGTTAGGCTTAGGGGAACCCTTGGGGATATAGACCCTCTCAATAAGGTCCCTGTTTAAGAGAACCAGAAGCAGGGTTAAGAAGGGTCCCCTTGAAGGGGTCTCCCTGATACTACTACCTAGCAGTTCAAGGTCTGCGCTAGGGGTCCCTCGGTAGCTGAAACTTCCAGCGGCCTAAACTTCTTGCACCTTTGGAGAACCCTTATACCAACCTTTGAAGGGACGACTGTTATAGAACCCGAAACTCTTGACGGGAACCCGATTATGGAACCCGAAACCCTTAAAAGGAACCCTGTTATAGAACCCGAAACTCCCGAATTAGAACACGAAACCCTTAACGGGAACCCCCATCGTAGAACCCGAAACCCTTAAGGGGCCCTTTAAAGGTCCCTCTAAGGGCTCCTTTAGAGGCTACTGTTAAGGGCTTTTTCATAGAGCCGGAGCCCTGATCGAAACCCTAAACCCTAAACTCTGAACCCTAAACCCTAAACTCTGAACGTCAGTTGTAACTCTGGACAAAGCGCTTTGTGTCCGCGAGCATCACGCCGGTCAGCTCCCCGAACCTGAGGCTGTGAGGGTTTAGGGTTTTGGGGTTTAGGGTTTAGGGTTTTGGGATTTAGGGTTCTGGGGTTTAGGGTTTTGGGTTTTGGGGTTTTGGGTTTTGGGTTTAGGGTTCTGGGGTTTAGGGTTTTGGCGCTGTTCAATTCTGGGAATTCTGGGTTTGGGGCTTAACGTCTTGAGGAGCCCTACGGCTCCAAGCATACAAAGTGTACCTACTTTGGGGTCCAAAGTCTACCAACATGTACCTGGAGTCTGAGGGTAGGGGTTCAGGGCGGAAGTGTGCCTACTTTGGGGTCCAAAGTCTACCAACATGTACCTGGAGTCTGAGGCTAGGGGTTCAGGGCGGAAGTGTGCCTACTTTGGGGTCCAAAGTCTATCAACATGTACCTGCTTTGGGCTAGTTGGAGTCTAAGGGTAGGAGTTCAGGGCGGAAAGCCGGACACAGGGCCTTCGGGAACACAGGGTTGAGGGTTGAGGGCTCTTAAAGGACCTGCCTTTTTCAAGTTCTAAGAGATTCTAGCCGGGCATGATATAGGATTTGGTGTGGAGCCTACGGCGTTGTTATAGGATTTGGTGTGGAGCCTACGGCGTTGTTAACGTTAGAATTAGAATATGTAGAACAGTGTCAGTGCATGTGCGTCTGCGCAATTTACTCGGGTTCACGGTTTCTGGACAACGAATGGCATGTTGGGCATGATAGCTTGAAAGAAACGACAGCATCTGACAACCATATGAGTTCGCTGGCATACAAACCATGGCACTGAACCTATACACCACTGCATACCCTAAACGCTAAACCCTAAATCTCCTAAACCCCATACCAGCTTCACGTGGAGGTACGAGCACAGTTAAGCCTGCAAAGCAAAGTGTGAGGGTAAAGTCATGCACCCACAATGATCAAGCTAACTCCGTTCGGTTTAAGGTTTAGGGCCTAGGTATTAGGGTTTAGGCTTTAGGGTTTAGGGATGAGATTCTTGGACGCCTTACTAACCCGCAAGCCTACGAAGGTGACCAGCCATGGGCAAGTCGGCCAGTGTCCCAGGATCCAGTATTGCTAGCGGACACAGTGGGCCAAGCGCTGACGCTGGCCACTATATAATACTATATCTATCTGGCGAAGGACTTTTAAATTTGGCCGCCTCGTTCTACACATTGTGGCGTGTTGTACCTGTAGCCCGACATCGTTGCTGGTGTCAACATCAACCGGACTCAGGAAAAAAACACACCACAAGCTAGATACCCAGGTGCTGCTGGACGCATTGTCATACAAAAGGAAGCGAAGGATTCATGAAGGTAAGGGACGGCCATTGTCACACATGGATATGTTTTCCCTTTTTCAAAACCTGTGGCATCAGCATTGACACAGATCTGTCGGCTAAGCTGCGCCCATGTGTAGCTGATATCTCCATGAATCCAGGACTCCACTTTTGGTCGCTTCAAGTTCCTGCCAACCTCACTTCACTGCCTCCTTCACACGGAATAAGACCATGCCAGCGACCACGAGCGCAGTGCCAAGCCAAATCCTCAACATTGCGTAAATCAGTCAGACAAACACTTGATTCTGCCAAGCTGCAACCAAAAAAAACAGCAAAATGCGCGTTAACTTAGCATGCTCCAGACTCCAGGCAGACAGTGGTGGCTGTACGTTTGAAGGGCCCATAATCCAAACCACCGTGAAAGCCTGCGAAAGCGGTTGGATTTGGGGGGGGGGGGGGGGGG